TTCTCGGAGTCATTCCTAGGAAGGTCTTTGTAAATCAGCAAAGGCAAAGGATATTAAGGAGGATGGGTTCTAGATATATTCCAAGCAAGTTATTATTTCGCTTGAGAGGCTGTGGCCCTGAAAGACCCCTCCACCAGTGCAGCACTGGCCTCACCAACCTCCGTCCTCGTGCCAGGGCTCACCACCACCGGCTTCGTCGAGGATCGTCTTGACACCTCATTGATGGAAAATTGCACCTATTTATAAGCTAGTGGGCCCTGCTTAAAGTAACTATGGGGAAACAAAGGAAATCCTGATACGTACTGTGAATAAGCTATGGGGAAACCATTATGTATATAGATCTGCGTTTTGTCGCAGAACCTCTTCAAACCACGACCATTGATATACCACGTACCGCTAAACATGATGAGCCCCCTATATAGCTAAGTTGCCTTACAAGTGACTGATAATGGGTAAAACTATAGTTAAGACTTACTGCAATTTATAAACGTACCTGTAACTGAGGGGCACCATGCAGTCACTCAATGCGAGCGTGGCGCGGGCCCCAAGTGCTCAGGCATGCCAGCTAGAACGGCCTGCTTCTTCGAGTAGTAGCTCTGCTTGCCATTTTTGAATACCCCTGGGCTGAAACCCGGGACGAACCGGGATCATGTCTGTATTGCCATGTGAATTGACTAGGTGCAGAGGTAAGTTCGGTTATAAACAGCATATATGAACCAAAATCCTTACATATCCCTATAGTTTTAAAAATAAGCTATCTTAGGGGCACCACCTTGTGGCATCGGGCTGCGCACCTATAACGTAGTTGTTTCTTAAGTCTTAAGATACTATATAAACAGAACTGATATGCCACTGCCATTGTTGGGGACACCGGGGAAGCTGCATACACCCTTGCCCGCAAATTGGTTTCAGGAGATATCTGCATGAAACCCTTGATATTTGGTAGTGAAAAACGTCCTGCTTGTAATCTTTCCTCAAACCAATCTGCTGAATTTAAATTCTGTGGGTCTAGGTAGTTCCTTTGCAAGGGTCGAGCAGCTGATGTCCCATGATTTCGCACGTTAATATCCCTTCTTGGCTTGAATTTCTGGGATTCACCTGTCATATTTCATTCCCTGCAACCATGCGACACCAAATGCTGCCGACTTGACTGCCGCTTCCGCGCATTCTTCTCTCTGCAGTCCACTCCATGACTACCAGGAAGAACCCTGAGAATGTGCCCTTATGAGCCCAAATCTATACAAGTCACAGAAATGGCAGTGTGTCAAAACCTTGTACCCCGGGGGAACATCAAAATAGCTGGTAAATGGATGTTCATCCCACTAAAAAAGGTTCTATAGGTATTTATCCATAGCCAAATCAATGTCCAATTTGGGTATCGCTAATGTGGAGATTAAAGAAATATAATGACATAACCTTGAAAAGGGGTATCGCTAATTTGGGAAGGTCCCATCGCTTACCTCGTGTTTTTAACAATTTCCATAAATTTCCATAAACCAATGTCCGCCGAATACATATTTAGTATTGCCGGGGTTTTTACGATTGCTCACATAAGCTTTTACACACAGAAGCTTTTACACACAGACACCTTTACACACAGACCATTTTACACTGCTTTTACACACAGACACTTTTACACACAGACCATGTCACACACAGTCACTTTTGCACACAGAAGCTTTTAAGCACAGAAGCTTTTACAGACAGACCCTTTACACACAGACGCTTTTATACACAGACGCTTTTACACACAGAAGCTTTTACACACAGACGCTTTTACACACAGTCACTTTCACACACAGAAGCTTTTACACACAGACGCTTTTACACACAGAAGCTTTTACACACAGACGCTTTTATACACAGACGCTTTTACACACACAAGCTTTTACACACAGACACCTTTACACACAGACCATTTTACACTGCTTCTTCACACAGACAGTTTTACACACAGAACCTGTCACACACAGTCACTTTTACACACAGACGCTTTTAAACACAGCAGCTTTTACATACAGATCCTTTTACACACAGACGCTTTTACACACAGACGCTTTCACACACAGACCCTTTTACACACAGAAGCTTTTACACACAGTCACTTTTACACACAGAAGCTTTTACACACAGACGCTTTTACACTATTACCCACAGACGCTTTTGCAAACAGACGCTTTTACACACAGACGCTTTTACACACAGACACTTTTACACACAGACGCTTTTACACACAGACACTTTTCCACACAGACGCTTTTACACACAGACGCTTTTACACACAGACGCTTACACAGAGACATTTACACACAGTCTCCTTTACACACAGACGCTTTTACACTTTTACCCACAGTCGCTTTTACACACAGACGCTTTTACACTTTTACACACAGACGCTTTTGCAAACATACGCTTTTACACACAGACTCTTTTACACACAGACACTTTTACACACAGACGCTTTTACACACAGACACTTTTCCACACAGACGCTTTTACACACAGACGCTTTTAAACACAGACGCTTATATACACAGAGACATTTACACACAGTCTCCTTTACACACAGACGCTTTTACACGCAGGTGCGTTTTAAAACACACGCACACACGCTTTCACACACAAACGCTTTTACACACAGACGCGTTTACACACAGACGCTTTTACACACAGACGCTTTTACACGCAGAAGCTTTTTACACACGCACACACGCTTTTACACACAAACGCTTTTACACACAGACGGTTTTACACACAGACGCTTCTACACGCAGACGCTTTTACACGCAGATGCGTTTTACACACGCACACACGCTTTCACACACAAACGCTTTTACACACAGACGCATTTACACACAGACGCTTTTACACACAGACGCTTTTACACGCAGATGCTTTTTACACACGCAGACACGCTTTCACACACAAACGCTTTTACACACAGACGCTTTTACACACAGACACTTGTACAGAAACGAAAGCGTCCATCGCAATTTTTCCTCAGTTTTTGACGTCCAACGTCCATTTCGTGCGAAAGGGTTGCGCGGGATGCTTCAAAGTCGCAATTTTTCCTCAGTTTTTGACGTCTAACGTCCATTTCGTGCGTAAGGGTTGCGATTGACAACTCAAAGTCGCAATTTTTCCTCAGTTTTTGACGTCCAACGTCCATTTCGTGCGTAAGGGTTGCGATTGACAACTCAAAGTCGCAATTTTTCCTCAGTTTTTGACGTCCAACGTCCATTTCGTGCTAAAGGGTTGCGATTGACACCTCAAAGTCGCAATTTTTCCTCAATTTTTGACGTCCAACGTCCATTTCGTGCGTAAGGGTTGCGATTGACACCTCAAAGTCGCAATTTTTCCTCAGTTTTTGACGTCCAACGTCCATTTCGTGCGTAAGGGTTGCGATTGACAACTCAAAGTCGCAATTTTTCCTCAGTTTTTGACGTCCAACGTCCATTTCGTGCGAAAGGGTTGCGCGGGACGCTTCAAAGTCGCAATTTTCCCTCAGTTTTTGACGTCCAACGTCCATTTCGTGCGAAAGGGTTGCGCGGGACGCTTCAAAGTCGCAATTTTCCTTCAGTTTTTGACGTCCGACGTCCATTTCGTGCGAAAGGGTTGCGCGCGACGCTTCAAAATCGCAATTTTACCTTGGTTTTGGACGTCCAACATCCATTTCGTGCGAAAGGGTTGCGTTTCGTGGCGCTCCGGCGGCACCGCCCCCGCCTTAAGAGAGAATAGAAGAAGAGCGAGAGGAGATCTGCAGATGTGAAGGTGTGCAGATGTGATCTAGATCTGCAGATGTGAGGGTGTGAAGATCTAGATCTGCAGATGTGAGGGTGTGAAGATGTAGATCTGCAGATGTGAGGGTGTGAAGATCTAGATCTGCAGATGTGACGGTGTGAAGATCTAGATCTGCAGGTGTGAAGGTGTGAAGATCTAGATCTGCAGGTGTGAAGGTGTGAAGATCTAGATCTGCAGGTGTGAGGGTGTGAAGATCTAGATCTGCAGGTGTGAAGGTGTGAAGATGTAGATCAGCAGATGCGAGGGTGTGAAGACCTAGATCTGCAGATGTGAGGGTGTGAAGATCTAGATCTGCAGATGTGAGGGTGTGAAGATGTAGATCTGCAGGTGTGAAGGTGTGAAGATCTAGATCTGCAGGTGTGAAGGTGTGAAGATGTAGATCTAGATCTAGCTGCAGGTGTGAAGGTGTCTAGATCTGCAGGTGTGAAGGTGTGAAGATGTAGGCGGCTGCTTTTTTACGAAGAACCCTTCGCAGGCGCTCTCGGGAAAAAAAAATACGTATGGCAAAAACATGGCAAGAATGACATGATGTTACATGAAAAGTATTAACATGGATAATCACTACACATACTGTTTGGCAAGAATACATGATGTTACATGATATTATATGTTTATATATTTACATATATTTACCATATTTTACCCCGAAAAGTAGGGTTTTGCGCCTTCAACATGGAGATAATCACTACACATACTGGTTGATGTGTGTAAATATTGAAATCGGCCATCTCAACTGACAAACAGATGTTGATTCAACTCCAAGAATGGGGACAAAGGATGGTTGCTGAATGATAATTTGTTATGGTTTGTTTTTGGGTTTATGCTAACTGTGGCAGTTGATGGATGTTGCTTCTCAATGTTTGGGCTTATAGCAGTACTGGTTTACAGTAATGGACTGGAATGCGAAGATCATGAACCTTGCAATTTGCGAAATAAGGCACGACATTCCCATAGCGCGGAAGTCTTGCATTTCTCCTCATTTTTGTGGTGCCTTTGTGTGATAGACCCAATGGAAAACCCACACCTAATTCTGCAACCAAAATTGCGTTTGAAACCTCAAACACCTAGAGTCCACTATGTATAGTGAGTATACAACATGAAAGTTTGATTGAAGATGTTCCCAAACCACCTCAACATCGCAAAAGTTGAAGAATCCTCCCCACTTCCATGGACCCAACAGCCACGGATAGCCACGGCACCGATGCGGACGGGGCAGCGGATCGCTCCGTTCGACCTGGGAACGCCATCTTTCAAGTGGCTGGGTTAATCAACAAAGAAATGACATCAATCGCCCGTCCATAGCAGGATATGATCTATACAGTCTATACATTGGTGATTATGATTCAACATATTTTGATAGCATGAATGGGAAGAAAACAAGTAAATGATGAACATCATAACAAAGCGGGTTAAGGAGATTGAAGGAATAACATCACCATGCTCAAAAGCTAGCCCATGATCTATAGCCACAAAAACTCATCTGCCGATATCTATATAGGCGGTGTTCCCATCTTGGGCCAAAATTTCCATAATTCAATACTTTTTGCCAGGATCATAATATCAACCATCTCCGTTACTTAACCTCTTGGTTAATTTAGATTCTACAGTTTTCCTATCATTTTCTGGTTGAGACCCACTGACTTGTTCTTCAACAAAACATTTTCCACGATTTCCCCATGTTTTCACCTAACGTAATTCTGGGTAAAACAATAAACTAGCCATTTGGGAATGGTTTCAATCCCACCTATGAAAATGGTGATTTGGGGGATGGTTGATTATTGTTTTAACATGTTTTAACCACATTGAGTAACATTATTACCAATCACATTAACCAACCTATTATTTTATGATTATGATTCAATCAATAACTCATTTAGTCACATTTATGATAATGGTAATGTGATGATGATATAGTGTGGTTGATTATTATTTAGGAACGATGATTGGTGGGATTGGTTTCCCATTCCCAAATCACAATGTTTGTTGGGAATGATTAAAATCAATCCCAACAATTTTTACCAACAATAATGTAATGTCAACCCCAGATTAATAAACCCCAAACGGCTGGTTAATTGGGGGGGTACCATTTAAATATATTTATATAAATATCAGATTATGACATATTATGATTCTTTGGGGGAGAACTGGGAGAACCCCTAATTTTCATCAACCAATACAAGGTGGTGCCCCACTTCGTTAGCTAAGTTGGTTTATAACTCCAATTTCACTATGGTTTATGGTAGATATATCAAATTATCAATACATCAAGTATGGTTATTTATAAACCAACTGATAACCATGGTATATTACCATAAACCATAATCTTATAACCAACTACCCATAGGATCCATGTATGGTATATATGCTAACATTGGGGGTATATTGATGGTAAATGTTACCATATATAGCATACATGGATCCTATGGGCTATGGTTTATGGATGTTTATGGGGGTGGCACAACGGTTGTATGATCCCCGCGGTGCCTCGGTCCCCTGAGAGGTTGGAGATGGCCGAGATGGCGCGCCGCGCGCGGCGGTGCAGCTCGAAGGAGGCGTAGGAGGCCGCCAGGGTGCCCTGCAACAACGGCCACGGCGGCCACGGTAGGGTGGTAACAGTGGTGGATTTTCAGATTTTTGGAGAAAAAAACATGGGAAAACGTGGGAAAACATGGAAAAAACCATGTGCGTTTAAATTGTTTCATGGATTTTGATGGATTCTGATGGAACATGGTTGAATTCCTAGAGAACTCCTAATTTGTTGGTGGACCAAAAGGGTCCTCAAGCTATCAAAACTAACTTTGGGACCAACACCATGTATGGACCCACAATGATGTCATCTGCTGGCAATTCTTACTTGGAAACCCATGTAATTATCGCACTGGCAAAAGTGGGGTTTCTCCACAAGTGTGGAGATCATCCGATCATCCAAGCGAGTGCATCCTGGTAAACTGGTGCTTGGGTCTTTCGCCAAGTCAGTTGAAATGAGTAGCAAGCGGGGCTTGTATCCCAGCTGCACGTAGATCATATCGCAGTTGCGAACTGCAACCAGTTTCTGCTGGTCCGACCAGTACCTACCATCTACCAAGAAGGAGCCATTCCTACAGTCAGCAGGTTGTTTGGTCAACGCGTCAAACCTTTTGAACATGTTTCAGCGCGCAAAACATTGAGAACCAATTTAATCACATTAATCTTGGACACATGGATATGGTACATCACACCAAGTATCGGCCCTGCTTTCCTACCAGGCTGCCCCCTCCAATCATGAGTTAGTTTACAAACGTATATAGATGTACCCACATGTACCCACCATGAAACAGATTTAGCCCACAATCATACTCAACCAACTTTAGTTTCTCATCTTTTTTGGGGGGGTGCCACCTGGTATCTTTTTCACCAAAAAATCGTCCCGAAGCCCCATCTTTCCCTCGTCCGCCGGGCCTTGGTGCACTTCAGCCAGGCTTGCTCCTGGGCAGCGTGGAAGAGATCGTCGTGCTCTGAGGAGCCCTCCTGACACTCGTAGAAATCCTAGGCTGGTGGCATGGGGATAGGGTGCAAGGTGGGGGCTGCGAATGTGGCTTTGGGTGCTGGTTGTGGCTATGTCTTCAAGAAGGAAGAAATCCACGGTGCTTTGTAGATATGTGATTCGAGTCCGCATCAAACACAATGAGATACGATTACAAGAGCTGCAAGCTCCAGGGGTTGAGGTCCAGGGGTGAGCTCTTTTGAAGATTCGACTTCCAGCGAGATCTTTTGTATGTCACCAATGCAGCGGATCAATGGATACCTCGACAATGCAAGATTCACGTTCAGTAAGGAATTTGAAGGACTACCAGTCTATCATTCTTGTGTTGGAAGTTATCTCTCAAGAGTCAAGAGGATAAAATGGTCCAAACACGGATACAATATGATACAATCACATTGTATTGTATGGGTTTCTGTGAAAGTAAGTTAGTTCCCCAAAATCCCATGGTCTCTCATCATTTTCCCAGTGATAAAGGCACTTTTCACATACTTTTCAGGGTAGATAGCCCATATTTCTGGGTCCAAAATCCCTCTCCAAGAGATCCCCAAAATCCCTCAGCTCCTAAGCCAGCTGTTTGGCCCAGGCTCATCCCATCGAGCTTCCCTGAAAAAGTCATCTTCACCTTGGAAAATCAACGGTGGGGATGAAGAAACATCTGACTGGAAATCAACCATCATCAGACTTCAAGGAACATCACTTTTTGTTAAACCTTGGGACTGGTTAGTCTTTTGAGAAGCCAGGTGTTTTTCAATCTGGGCTTGAAATCACTGTCGATGTGTGGAATGGGAGTTCGAATCTGGTTGGCGATTTCACCCCACCCCAAAATGTATAGCCAATCCAGGATGATTTTCGCTAGGGATGGAAAAATAATGGTAACTATTTTATTCATATTAATTCAACCATTTGCTGCGGGAAATGGTCCATTAGTATCCATTTGTTGTATCGTTGGATGATTATGATGGCATGTAAAGACACAATAACTATTTCCACAAGCTATGCAAATTTATAAGGTATCACTGCCACAGTTGAAATCATCAAAATCAAATCAGAAGCACCTTGGCACCACTTTGGCACCATGCTGGACCACAAAATTTTCACCCTGAAGGCTGGTGAACACGCCACCAGCCGAAGTGCAACATTCAGTGACCAGCCGACCAGCCAATCTTTTGGCGTGTTTCTGAGCCACTGCCACCAAAGGTCACAGACATCATCACACGTCTATGGTCACACACGCGCATCTATGATATATCAATGAGTAAAAAACAAATGCACTGTTCGGCTGGAGAAGTCACCAGCTGAAAGTATACCCCCTCAACATGACGTGAACCAGTCATTCTTCTGCATCTAATTAACTGGAGAAAACAACCCATCATCAGCACCTGCAGTTAAGATAGTTAAGGCCCTTTACCAGTTTGATTTTATAAATGGGGTTATAACATGTTATAACTGACTTATAACTGGTATACAGGGCCATAACTTAGTGAAAATCCAACCAACCGAGGTGCCAAATAGGCTGTCGACCTCGCAGCCACGCCGTGGATTGGAGCAGCATTCCAAGCTACCTGACGGTACGACCACCCAACCAGGCAAGATCCAAAAGCTTTGGCGACCAAAATCATCGAACTCCCCAAGTTTTTTTGGAATTTTACTATGCTGCACTGTTTGATGATTTTTAATGGAATATTTTAATGGAATATGTACTTAAACACAATCAAACACATCGAGTCGCATGGAAACATTGATGCGAGTGTGATATCTCTGGATATATCTAAGGATTTTAAGCTGGTTTGACCATGTGTGACCCGTATTTCGTTGACACGAATCTCTAAGAAATGAAGAGTTTAAGTTCTATTTTGACCATTCCCCGCCAAAAAAAAACATCTTGGAGCCATGTTGGAAAGCCCAATACCCATACAGGATCCATGTATGCTATGGTAACATGGATCCCATCAATTAATATCCCATTGATGTTAGCATTTTTCTACCAGCACCATGGAGCCATGGATCCTATGGGATATTGAGCCACCATTGCAACAAAACTGCCGCCGAGCATCTGCCCAATCCCATCACCAACTGGCGCTCTGAGCGCCACTTCAAATGCCCGCAGGGATGGCGATGGCGAGGCAGGGCTGCGAGTTGTCGAAGAAGTGGAAGGGTGAAAAGCTAAGGGCTGTTTTGGGGACAAGATGTCTTGGATACAGGTTTTATATATTATAATTTTATATTATATACAAATGATTTATATTGTACTATTTTATATTATATAATATATTATATACATATGATTTTAAACTATAGTTTATCCTGATAAATCAAGAAAAACATAATTATGCATTGATTCTGATGGTCAAAAGGATCAAAATCTGTTCTGTCTGAATCCAGATGGAGGCGAGTGCGTGATGCTCATTGGTTGGAGGTGGGATGTGCTAACGGAGTGCTGGCATCTGCTGGTCGCGCTCCTTTACGACCCTGGTTGAAGGGGGCAGTTATGTAACAAGAAACACATACTAATTGTGCACTTACTATGTATACCCCTAAAAAAGGCTGTTTCAAATGTGACAATTGGTTCTTGTGGTCACAGGGTTCCTTGCTACACAGGTGCGACAGCCAATTCAGTGAAGCTCTTTGGCTGCGCCCTTTCAGAGATGCTGAAGTGGGGGGGGCAGTGGCAGTGTCTGGCTTCAAGTTGAAGGTCCCAATTCAACTCAAACAGACCAAAAGGATCCAAAAGGGGGGCCTTTTATGGGCTGAACATCTAGCCGATGCCGTGAAGCAGATCATGGTAGCATGGTGGCCCAATGGCCAATTGACCTGACGGACCTGTCTCTGATAGCTCCCCCTGATCCAAAATGATCCATCCGGAGCGAGGCGTGAGGAGATCAGGAGACTGATGGGTGAGTCCCGAAACACAGTGGTTTTGGATCACTGTCCTACATGAGAACAAAAATAGAGACGATATTGTCATTGAAACCAAGAACCAAGCAAAATTTAGTACTTCAACGGAAATTTGAATTTGGCCTTGCTTTTCACAAAATAAATTTACTGTATAGTTGCCATTTGAAGACCCCGCTGGGCTTTCATTGTTTTGGCCACACAATCATGGTCACCTGGTCGCACGAAACAACCGAAAATCACATTCGTAATGTTCAAGTGGTCCCTGCGATGCGTGTCTATTGATGTAATGTAATGTAATGTAATGTAATGTAGGTATGTAGGTGGGTAAACAGCAAACCATAGATATCCTGCCAAAACCTTATCTTTGTGTCGATGGTTGATATATCTATATACTCCAGATGAGCCTCACTTCACGGTGATTACATATGTGATGCTATGTTTCAAGCCATCCCAAACATGTCCTCGTTACAGTAATTGGCAAATTGGGGTGATCATTTTAAACAGGGGAACCAGTAAGATATTTGAATCCACAAAACCAATAGCCTCCAGTAAACTACATAACAGCTTGAGAACTGGAAGCCAGGGATCACAGGTCGAAAACTGTGACAAATTACCAGAGGGTTTGTCCCCATCACCCCATCTTCATTAAAAAAATATTATATACACCGTAGGATTTCTGCGGGTTTTGGTTCTCAAGGTATGTATATATATATATATATAGTAAATACCCTTGGGTAATCAACCATAGCAATGGAAAATCCACGAATTATCCATGATTTTCCCATTCAAAAACACCATTTTTTTCGAGGATTCTCCAGGCCACGTTTCATGATGAGGGTAGTCATACCCATGAACTCCACCAACTTGGCATCCCCACTCTGCAAGGGTGCCGCACCAGCCAGGCATGTGGGACCTAAGTAACTGATGTGGTTTACTGAAAACAAGGCCCATTGGCTTAAGGTGGATATGTAACTTAACATAGCTATTGAACATCACCGCGTTTTTCCATGTTTTTAATGCGTACATCTTCGAACTTTTCATAGGCCGTTTGTTGCCCCAGTTCGCGACCGATCTTCATCTGAGCTCCAGGCTGTAAATCATCACTTCACCTGGGAGCTTGTTGATCAACTAAGGATTACGCCGTACAAGTTGGCTTTATTCAGCAATAGTGATGTAACAATAGGCCAATACATGCTATAGATTGCTATAGTATAAATATGTATAAATGATGATTTGATGATTTAGCGCGAAATTGGCACCCATATGGGGCACTGATGATTTCGAGTTCACCGCTTGCGTGGTTTGTTTATCTATTTTGAGTGTGGTAAAGCCAACGCCAATGAGGGTTTTGTCATAGAAATGGTAGAGATATTAACCTGTAAGAATGGGAATATATGGGGCATAATGACAGGAATGTGGTTGTGATAATTTCTGCAAGGGGAATCATCCACAAAATGCCATAAAATGATGCCTTATGCTTTTGCTGTATTGGGAGTCATCAAGTATCCCGGCAACCAAGAATGCAGGTGTTTTTTTCTCATCATCCCATAGATACAGGTCTAGTTATGAACAGTTGGTAAAGCCCAAATGCCATTTATAGTTATAACTATGTTGGATGGCCACTATATAGTTATATGGTAGAGACAGGTCTATATAGTTATAAATGTTGGATGACCGATCTGGTCTACATGTGGAACACCCCAATGGATTGTCTCTATAACCGTCAGCATAGAGAAATTCCTCCAGTTTCACAGCATTTTAACCATCACCCATTTTGCTGTGGTTAAAACAATGTCATAAACCACACCATTTTTCATGGTCTATACCACCCATAGAACTGGTGATTTTGGGGATGGTTTATGGCATTGTTTCAACCACATTAAAATCCTTTTACTAAAAAAAAAACAGTATTTTCCAGCAACAAATTACCAGAGGGTGTCATTAAGTCACCGACCTGGGAGTGATAAGACCTGTTCCATGAAATCGCCAATGTGTGTCGCCAATGTGTGTCCACAATTTCAAGAAACATATCTATCTTTTGATATCCTGTTTAATTCAAACTGGGTCATGTTTATGTCATGTAATTTAATTGTACATAGATATCCCCACTGTATAATACATATATAATATATTACAATTGTTCTACGTTCTCACTCTTGCGGATCTAGATCAATTTAACCCATGATTCACATTCAACATAGTTGATGTATCAGGTGCTGGTCTAGTGCTAGTTCCTCCCGAGTTTCGTTACAAGAAACATGTCCAAAAACAGCATGTGGAAAAAAATCTGCCTGCATCGCCACAGCTGAGAAGGCGTGGTTCCGCCTCACTGGACACCTCAAATTCTGGAGGATTCAGAACTTAAGTGTCTTACCCAGGAAGGCTATTGAACTGAACCATTGAAAATAGATGATAAAACGCCAACAAAAAAAAAGTTTTACGGTTTTACATCGGTTTTATCATGATTTACTTCAGTTGGAAATAGTGATTTTCCATAATTAAAGGCTGATGGGTACAACGGAAATTAACACAATAAGAAACCATAAGAAACCAACCATATATTGGTACCTTGAAATCCATGCTATTGTTTCTGGTATTCCCAAAAGATCGAGGTCTAATCAACCGAAATAGGATCAACTAATGGGGATTTAAGTACTGAAACATGATGATAAGCAATGGATGTGGGTTTGACTAAACATGGAAACACAAAGTTCCCATAGTCATTTTGATACTGATGATGAATCAGTGGGATTACCATCTGGTATTTGAACATAGCTATGAAAGATCATCGTTGATATAACTGTATCTGGTTGGTGCTTCAACCTATCCCTCTGAAAAATATGTCTTCGTCAGTTGTGATGATTATTCCCAATATATGGAAAACACAATGTTCTGAACCACCAACCATATATATATATAATATTATTACATCATCTATTTTCATGGGCCACGGCTTCTATGCGGCAAAGTCTGAAGAATTACCGGAGGGCAATTCCCCACCCATGCTCATATTGTGTTAGCTATGGAAAATCATCATTGATAGGTAAACCATCTATACATGAACATCATGAACAGTTTGGTATAAGAAATTATCAGTGGATCTAAAAAATATATACGTTACCCTCCAGTAAATCAACATAGACCCTGGCAGTCATCGGGCTTGGAAGATTAGTTTCCACTACGAATGGGATAGAAATTCAGAGTCCAACTGTCAATTTACCAGAGGGAAATCCCACTAAATCCCACTAAAGCCCACTAAATCCCACTAAATCCCACTAAAGCCCACTAAATCCCACTAAATCCCACTAAATCCCACTCCAGTAAAACCCACTAAATCCCACTAAGTCCCACTAAGTCCCACTAAACTGTGACTATAACCCATTGGAAATCACCGTGTTGCGACGTGTTTCACTCCCATGGAGAAGCACCGCCCAACTGCTCCAAGGCACCGCCACAGAGTTGAGGCCACGTTGATGCTCCGTGACCTGACAACGCTGAAGCGACCACCACGGAGGGTTGACCGAAATCCGAAGAACCAGGGGACCGGGTAACTATTAATAAACCCCAAACGGCTGGTTAATTGGGGGGGTACCATGTAAATATATTTAAATATCAGATTGTGACATATTATGATTCTTTGGGGGAGAACTGGGAGAACCCCTAATTTTCATAAACCAATACAAGGTGGTGCCCCACTTCGTTAGCTAAGTTGGTTTATAACTCCAATTTCACTATGGTTTATGGTAGATATATCAAATTATCAATACACCAAGTATGGTTATTTATAAACCAACTGATAACCATGGTATATTACCATAAACCATAACCCATAGGATCCATGGTGCTGCTATATATATGGTAACATGGATCCCATCAATATACCCCAAATGATAGCATATATACCAGCACCATGGATCCTATGGGGTATCTAGTGGCAATAGTTACTATAAACTATCCGGTTTCTATAATCGTACTATTGGAACAACTGAATATGGGGGACTAGGAAAATATATTTTTTGGGAAAGCAATAACATCAATAAGAACTTACTCAACTTACAATAGTATTCTTTACTCGTGAACTCGTTAACTATTTACAATAACAATATTCATGATTGCCAATAGTTACAATGGGAGAATATTTCCCAGGTAATTAACTGTGGTTGGTAACATTGGATTGTACCGGGACCATCTACCAAGTGGTGCAGGAATGAGAAAAACCATCCACTGTATGAAGGGTAGTATAATCCTCAAACGAATCATCGAGCAACAGGAGTCTTGAACGCTGCTCACTTGATATTCTAAGTCATGTTTGATTAATGCTGCTCAATTCACAGTTCTACTAGTTACCTCCCAATTTTCCAACTTAGCTATCATTACATATAAATATATATATATAAGATAATTAATAGATCATATAATTAAGTCATTAACATTATCTAATTGGTGGTTGAGTTACCCTCCTGAAAAATCTGAGTTCGTCAGATTGGATCATCATCCCAACTATTGGGGTTTCAATAAAAATCATGTTCCAAACCACCAACCAGGTCATCTCATTAATCATTAACCACCATTAACCATTATTAACCACTATTAACCTCTATTAACCTCTATTAACCTCTATTAACCTCTATTAACCCAGTTATATAGATCTATTAAGTCCATATTAAGATATATTAAGTCCCATTAACCCATATTAAGTCCCTATTGTTGATGGGAAAATACATCTTCCAAACCACCAACCAGAGAGGGTAATCCTATTCTAATCATAGTCTCATTAGATTGGTTTATGGGAAAATTGAAACCGGAAACTCCCATGTTTAATGGTAAAAACCCTGGATTTTCCTGGTGAAATTCCACCATTTCTGCTGGATTTCTCGTGGTTAAACGATCCCGCCGCCCGAGGGACGATCTGATGGATCTCCTGGGCCGTTTCGGGGTCCCAGACCTCAGGGCCAAAAAGAGGCTGGAGTTTGCGAAGAAGAGTGGTCACTTGACCTATATGTATATATGGAGATATATGGGGATATATGGGGATATATATATATAATTATATATATATATGTGTATATGTATATATATATATATGTATATATATATATGTGGGGATACACATATATAGAGATGAAGATATAGATATAGATATAGATATAGATGTACATCTCTAATGATATGCCTCGAGAACCTAAATCCTCGAATTTTTGGTGGGGTTTAAACGTAAACCCATACATATATATATATACATATATATATATACATATGTGTATATATATATATATACATATGTACATGGTGAGTTTGTAGGGTTATAACCAACTATCATTGGCAAATATGGGGATATGTTTATTAGTGTATATACATATATTATAAAATAGTTATATATATATATATATAATCATCCTGAAGTACATGGAATATGTTTCTTGTTGGAAATTCCATAGTCTATCTACTCCAGACTTAACCAATGGGTACATAACCATCAGTTTAAGAATATATATTGGTTCATTGGGACATAAACAACTTTGGAATATATATATATATATGATTATATATTATGTGTCGTATAACCATTGATGTAGTGCCAAAGCTAATCACCTTCAGTCCCTCTGGGTCGCTTGGGTCGCACCGAAGAACTCCGATCAACTTGTCCAGTGGCTCCCACAATGCACTGGAACAAAGACAGTTTTACAACATAAATAAAACCAACTATCATTGGAATATATAGGGATATATGATGATACAGAATGATACATATATATATACACAGACAACTTGGCACTTAAACATCTTAAACAGGACAAAATGGCAATGGGGGAAAACCCGAAAAAACTAGAAACATGATGAAACATGTGTTAGTTAAGTATTTATGTGTTGCATCAGCACGCGTCTATGAAACAACCCTCAGAAACAAAGTCATCATTCCCCAAGGACGGACCAATTTTGGGATGAAATCACCACAGCAACACGCTGAAAAAATCCTTGGCTAATTTGTCATGTGCTGGTTTACTATAGTTTCATATGGTTTTATAGGGATGATAATGGGATAATGATGGGATCATACTGGGATATTGATGGATATAATATACCCGGCCTGGTAATGACTAACAGTTTGCTATTGAAAATGGCCATTTATAGTGAGGTTTCCCATTAAACATGGTGGATCTTTCCATAGTCATGTTAAATTACCGGAGGGTAAATCTTGGGCTGTCTCGATTCTTTCCCATTTATGATGACCAAAAAGGAACAACACGACTTACAAGGTCGTGCCCCCCGTTGTAAGTTGGTTTATGACCCCACCCAACGGTTGTTCGATATCTCGACAGTAAATCCAATAGTTGATCAAACATGAGTTCCCCATATCCCATGACGGATCCATGGTGCTGCTATATATGGTGTGCCATGGATCCCATCAATGTACACCCCAATGTTAGCATATAGCACCATGGATCCGTCATGGGATGTTGCCTCTTAAATTGCCTTAAATCCCAAATCTTTATTGCTTAATTCCTTAACAAATGGGGCCACCAGCCGTACCACTCCCCGTTGTCGACTGTCTGAGCATCCAGGCTCTTAGCAGTCCATCTAAACCGCTGGTGACCGCGCGGCCGTAGGGTTCCAGCCTTGTGGTGCAGTTACAGTCCATGCCCGGTGAATATCTGGGAATATACGGTGAATATGTATGAACATATTACATATCATACGTGACATATGGATACATATGGTGAACATATGGTGAATAGCATCAAGCATGGGAATTAGAACCAACGATGATGGGCGTTGAATGGGATATACTGTTGTATAGTCAGGATATATTCGGATAGAGTGACTTGGAGAATCAGCACTACTCATGGAGGATCCCTATGGCTTTCAACGGGTTGACTAAGCATACCTAAGATGCAGGGACTATACAGCTGAGATGGGTGCACTTTTATTCAGGTCATGATGTCAAGCCCAAAGCAAAGCAACAATTCAGAACATATGCTAATTGGTGGTTTCAACCCCTCTGAAAAATATGAAAGTCAGTTGGGGTTATTTTCCCAATACATGGAAAAATAAAAAATGTTCCAAACCACCAACCAGTATGTGAATTAAATGGAGGATAGCATTGGCCGTGATTTCTTTTTTGGTATGTGTACATGGATGGAACAAAAATGATTCCCTGGGTTAGGAACCCCACAATAAGCACATACAATACTACACCATATTAAACCAGGGTTTCGGTATGTGACAAAAGTTCACACCTTTGGGTGAAACTTCACTCAGAGTATATAGAATTCCAAGCAAAAAGTACAAAAAGGGACTCCTCCCACTATCTGCTTATTTCCCGTTCAGGAATTACCCTCTGGTAAACTATCATAACTATGGAAAATCACCATTTTTAATAGGAAAACTCACTATAAATGGCCATTTTCAATAGCTATGCTAAATTACCAAAGGGTAAATTGAATTTTGTATCTCTTTGATGGATGAACCCTCATTTAAATTGCTCGAAACAACACCATTTCTGCGGCTTCAACCACTGGTTGGTGGCTGACCTACCCCTCTGAAAAATATGAAAGTCAGTTCGGATCATTATTCCCAATATATGGAAAATAATCCAAATGGCTAATCCAATTTCCAACCAGACCAGATTTCTAAGTGAAAAACTCCAATTTTTGGATATCTTGGCTGTTGAACCACAGGGACCACAGCCGAGTCCTTTGGGCTACCGACCTCTGAACCTGGGACGTGCGCACAACATCACACGTTTTTGTTGACGGTTTCTTGGCTCAGGGGAGGCCTTGAAGTTTTAAAAAATCCTGTAATATGTGACCAAACATAAAATAACACATCTGGTTGGTGGTATACCTACACCTCTGAAAAATATGACTTCGTCAGTTGGGATGATGACATTCCCAATAGATTGCAATAGATGGAAAAATAAAAAATGTTCCAAACCACCAATCAGACATGTAAGACGTGCACGGAAATATGAGAGTCACAGCAAGTTCTCAAGAAATGTCATGTGAGTTGTCCTAAATCATCTGTCAAACCCCACTGCCAGGGCTGACCTGGTGGTACTGTACCAGGGACGAACAGTGAGTCAACATGCGGTTCCGCCCAAAATTGGATGAACATCTTGGGGAGTACAAATTGGATGTTTCAAATTGGGATAGCATGTTGAATATATGCACAACGGAACCCATCAAGAATCTGGGTCAATATGGGAATGATTTCCCACAATCCAAACAATCATTCCGGTGAAATCCCAGTGAGGTCGTTAAAAGTTTACCCAGAAGAATGGCAAACCGATTTCATGACACATAGGAAACTGGTTGTTGGTATATCTACTCCTCTGAAAAATATGAACGTCAGTTGGGGTTATTATTGCCAATATATGGACAAATAAAAAATGTTCCAAACCACCAATTAGCAAAGTCTTGAGGACCCTTTGTTTTTCCCGAGGTTGCACTTATATTGCATTGTCCAGCTTCCCCACGCAGCATTTGTAAATGGCGAAATTCTCCGTTTTGCCCAAGATTTTGGATGCGAAGTTTTTGTCCACCCAAGTTAGGTTTCCTCTATTTCTTCACCCTGCACATCGTATAAATCAATGGACATATTAAAAACGGCAGCTGCAAACAAACGCAGATTTGAAACACTAGCCAACCTTGATGGTGGAAGCTTTCCATACAAATCAATGCTGAAAGCAAAAGCCAATGCTCCAATGCTGCACCAGCTTCCCCATAAGCCCATAATCTAAGTATAGGTAGATTATATAGGCTGAAATGACCATAAGACCAATCATTACATCAAGAATATCCTTGGATACTGTTAATCTGAGATATGTTTAGGTTTTTCATGTGTTTTCCGTTTTTTTCCCAATAATGACTAAACTCATCGCTTCAAAACTGCTTAATCCATCACGTCACATCTTTTAAATGGGGCTTGCAGTGCCCTGAGATTACCAAAAAAAGTACAAGCTGGTGCCCCGCACTTATGCTTGTTGGTTTATCTTCCCATCTAACCCCGTTGACCAACGCAGTTCATTCCAGTGAAATAAACCAACTTGACATAGATCATCTACTAGTTCTATAAAATAAAGTATCAATAATTTATTTGACATATATATATATATATACTGGTTGGTGGTTTCAACCCCTCTGAAACATATGAGTTCGTCAGTTGGGATGATGACATTCCCAACAGATGGGAAAGTCATAATCCAGTCATGTTCCAAACCACCAACCAGATATTATAGTTACTTTAATCGTTAGTACTTTTTTGCACATCTTAGAGTAATGATAGATCCGAATGTTGCATCCTATAATTTACCCAGATAGATTTTGCATCCTATAATTTACTCAGTTGGGATGATGACATTCCCAATAGATGGAAAGTCATAATCCCAAACCACCAACCAGATATATAAATTCCAGTGTAATAATCCCAACTTCTTGCAGCATAAATCCCCCATAAATCGCCGCGACTTGCCCCAATGACTCTCAGTTCCTGGCCGCCGTGACCAAGCTGTGGCCTTGGTCAACAGCCGAAACGAAGGTGCCACATGGCGTGCAAGATGGTGCCCACAAGATAGCAAAGTTAGATATATATATATATATAACTGGTTGGTGGTTTCAACCCCTCTGAACAATATTAGCCAGCTAGGACTAAAAAAAACCAATATATGGAAAAAAAAACATGTTCCAAACCACCAACCAGATAATTATATATATATATTGATGTTATAGCTGGGTTCATGACTATTCTGTTTTTTTTTGGTTATAAACCCGGTTATTGTTATATATTAAAATATATATGCATACAACTGAGTTCATGCTTGATATATCGAACTAGTTCATGGGGTCTATAATGGTGTACAGAACGAATTGAGACTGCGGGGCACATAGTTGTAAGCCCCACATAGATAGAGGAGTCACCTATTTACTATAACACTGTTTCATTAGGGCCTCATTAGGGTTTTAGATTTCTATATATTTTACGTATTGCTGTGTATGCATGTATATATTATATTTGTTTTGGGTTTTAGATAGAACTATGAACCAGTTGACTAAGTGGTAACATCCTGCATTTGAGAAATGCCTGAAACACGGCTCGCTTGGGTCTGTCGCCCATGGACACGTCCCTTTCGCTTCGTATACAGTGGCACTGTCCACTTAGCAACTAGCTCAATGATGATAAAATATGATATGTATGCATGTGTGTATGTATATATATATATATGTATATGTTACATTAAGCATTAGTAAGCATAGTCAGTTTATATATATATATTGCATTAAGCATTAGTAAATTGGTAAGCATAGTCAGTTTATAGATATATATATATATAATTGCATTAAGCATCAGTAAATTAGTAAGCATAGTCAGTTTCTTCCCAAACTTGAATTGTCACAATATAACCAGTCATTGATTGGTAAAACACATTTAGTTAATAAGTATAGTTATCTCAAATCATAGTATGGCACTATGGCACTGTGAACTTGGTAAATAGTGTGTACTGTACATGCTTGTATGATATATGATAATAAATGTTGATTTAATATACGAGTAAACAAACTCCAATTCTCCCCACCATAACATAGTTATCAACTGGAAATCTATTGATAACTATAGTTGGGTTCGTCTGAAAAATGGGACTGGTTTATCATTTCATCATCATATTACCCTTTGACCTTGAAATGCTCGGATATCATACTAATGTTTGGACACAACCCACTATACGGTTACCTACCTCGTTGTATTACGTTGTATCCCATTAAAGCCATCAAAACCATGAACCAACTATGTTTACTGTAGTGGGTCCCTGTTCAGGCCTGATACCAGGGAGGAACACCAGGTAACATGATTCACCTGGAATCGGTTGGAGCAACCTTCATTAGCCATTCAAATTCTATAGCTGATAAACAAATTAACAAAAACATAACATAAATTATCTTTCCTACTATTATTTCTAGTCATAGTCATGAATTTGTGTTCTATCTCTTTAAGGTCACTATCTTCCCCTTCCAAGGCCAGACCAGGACCCCGGCCATGTGCCGAACGCACCGAGCGATCCAGGCGCAAATTCGTGGGCTGCGGCCCGCGCAAGCCACGCGCCTCCGCCGAGAAAAACCGTTTTTAGTGCTGCAGGCAGTTAAGCAACAGCATGCTATAACTAGGGGATATATATATATATATGGTTTATTCATACGGGATAAGTATATACATGTATATATATATATATATGGCAGTGGGTCAAAACCTTGTACCCCTGTAGTTCACATCAAAATAGCTGGGATTTATGGATGTTCATCCCTCTAAAAATGGTATTAATAGGTATTGATTCATAGCCATATAATAACTTGATTAACTAGGGTTTATATATAGGTGATATAACATGCTATGACTACTGTTGGAGGGGGTTATAAACCAACTTACAACTAGGGGGGCCCTTCCTGTGTTTCTGGGAAAGATTGGAGCTTTCACCAATGGAAATGGATTGTAATGGCGGTGTAAGCCTAACAATGGGGATGCACTAGGGAGAAAATTGGGGTTTACCAGTGCCACCGCAAAATCCGGCAAAGATGGATAACATTGTACTTACACTGTATTCATATTGGGGGGATATGGGGCACAAAATAGGGATGTTGTGTATTCTCTACTGAATGGACTAAAATTGGGATTATTCAAAAAAAAAACAGTTCATGGAACCCAAAATAATTCATGCACAAAATCATCAATCAATAAAATAGTCCTAAATAATTCATGCACAAAATCATCAATCAATAAAATAGTCCTGAATCATGAAAAATCACTAAGCTGAAAATAGGGGTCATTTTTTGATGATTCACTAACCTCAATATAGCTGAAATTTCCGGCCTTTTGGGGACGATTCCCTGACCATCATGGTGAAGTCGTCCCATGATTCTCGTCACACCATAGAGATCTCCATCCAGATATATTACCCTCTGGTAAACTAACATAGCCATGGTATAGATGGCCCATTTATAGATGGTTTACCTATTAAACATGGTGATTTTCCATGGCTATGTTAAATAACCAGATATATTACAATGTATTATCCCCACAGTCTGGGTAATCTAGAATAAAAAATCTGAACCCGAGGTTCCATTTTGGATAGTTGCCCCTTACCATCTTCTTTGGTGAGGTTAGATGATCTTTATATGTACTGTAGGCAACGAGGCAATGCCATAAAACTATATACCCTCTGGTTATGACTAACATAGCCATGGAAAATCCCTTATAAATGGAGGTTTGAATGGGAAAATCATCTATAAATGGGCCATTTTCCATGGCTATGTTAAATAACCAGAGGGTAAACCTCCCATTTATGAATGGGTTATTCTATAAAGTTTATACAACTCATAAAATGCTGATGACTTGGGGAGGGTTTCTGGTTTATGGCATTGGGTGTACCGCATTAATATCTCATTGAACATCGTTATCTATCAGTATCATCATCAATGATCACTAATATAAATATTCTGCAATAATTATACCATGATAGTTCATAATCATATCATATATCAATTCATATCATATTATATATATATATATAAATGTTCTATCATTATATATATATATATAACTGTTACTATATATCACAATAATTCACAATATTAATCTATCAGTTATCATCATCAATCTAATATGACTCTGATCATTCTTATCTCTACAGCCGCCCCTTCCCATTGCACCTCCCCAGGTTCCAAGGCGCCAAAGTGCAGCGTGCCGTCGCTCAAGCCCAGCGCCACCGATGGCGCCGTGCCGCCGCCCGCGCGGTGTCTGGACCTCGGAATACCCTGGGTGGGAAAGGGCTGGGACATGGGAGGAAAACCCTGAGTGTTTACCCAGAGAAATGTAGGTTTTAACATGAAAAATGGATGTGACCTATGAAAAATGGAGGTTTTACATGGTTTTACCTGAAAAAATAGAGGTTTGCAAAGCAATTCATCAAGTCTGGGCTTATATCATCACGTGGAAAGATGAAAAGAGAAACCAACAAAAATGGGGATTGAAACAACCACACACGGGATATGATGTGGACAGAAGTTTGGATATAAAGAATGATTAAACAACATATAATATCATATAATCATTGACCCAGAAAAGCTTAAAGTTGGGTCATCTGGGGATGATTCCCCTTACTATTTACTGACATGACCCAACAATTCCAGTGATGTCACGACGTGAGGTCCGCCTGATGGCAATTTATCCAGATACATGATGTACATCATTGTACATCATGTACTATACCTGGTTGGTGGTTGAGCCCTACCCCTCTGAAAAATGATGGAGTGAAAGTCAGTTGGGATGATGACATTCCATTCCCACTAGATGGAAAAATAATCCAAATGCTCCAAACCACCAACCAGATATGTACTATAGCGTACTATAGATGCCCACCATGGTGATCTACTGATGAAAAACGGGGGTTTTACCCTCAAAGAATGGGATATATCATTCCCCCAAACTCGTTAGACCTATTGCATGAAGGTGTAAAATCACCGTTTATACTGATGGGGATATCGATGTATCAAATCTAAGAAACAATACAAATCAGAGGGATAATAGTGAATGATATATAATCTACTATGATCATATGGAGGTTTCCTAAAATGGGGGTACCCCTAAATCATCCATGTATATTATATAGTAGGATTTTCCACAAATAAACCATCCAGCTATTGGGGTAACCCCATTTCTGGAAACACCCTGAAACACATCCACCACTGATCCACATGTTTGATAAAATACCTCGATGCACCGGTTCTTTTCCTGTGAAACTATGGTGATGCCCGAAGATCTGCGTGGTGGTTTTAACGTATTCCTGCCCCCAACTACCGGAAACTTCATGGTCACAACAACAAAAACATGGTTTGCCTGGTTTGCTGTATAGGAAAAATCGACAAAGAAACGAAATATGTCACTGAAATTGTTTAAACTATGGGGGTTACCATATATTCGGTTCTAACTAATGGGTTTCAACTCATACAGCTTGCTTTATTGGTTCGATCTTTTCGGGGGTTACAACCGCCATGCTGAGCTTTCCCCACCAGCTGGTGCAACACACGGTGCTTTGCCCGCACCAGGAGTCACGGACCAGCACCTAGGTCCATGGAGTGGTACGTAAAATGTGATCCATATATGCCCCTGTAAGGGATTGGCGAAGAAAGATATTAAACAACCAACAAATGGATACAAATGGTGATTTACCCAGCAGCAATCGTGATTCATATGTGATTTATATTGATTTATGATCGGTAGGTTACTTTATTGCACTAGGTCGCTTGGATTGAGTTGGATCAAGCAAAAGGTACGGTGAGAACTTCATCGGTAGGCAAAATGATTTGGGGTAAGTCGGATTAGGTCGATTTCTTTCACTATATAATTAGGACCCTGACATCCCCATGGCAAAGGAACCACACTACCAATTCCATTTCATTCCGCCAACAAACCTTGCTGTCTTCAACCAATCCGAGGACTCTTTGGATGGGCATCGCAACGCTGATTTGTAACATTCAGAAAGTCCTAAGTCCGATTATCATCCAGGCAATCCACTTTTAATTGAGTGATACATGTGTGAAAACTACAGATGCAAAGTATTTCTGCAAATCGTTTATCAATGAAACAATTCACGTTTTCACTGCGTGAATTCAGTGCCTATTCACATCTCATCATTGTTGCTGAACTCCTCAGCCATGGTTGCCATGGCCATGGTTGTGGAAATCTACCTTTGCTTTGATCGGCGGAAAAAAGATAAGTTGGGGGAGTTTTCTACAACTAGAAAATTGAAGCATTCTACATATAGAATTATCATGAATTATCCCCCATTATTTATAATTTTACATGTACCAATTGTGATTCATATTATATCCCCATTATAATCCCCATTATGTCAATGGGAAATTCAGGACCTTAAAATGGAGGTACTGTACCATATTTTGGGCCATATAAATTGTGGTGATATTCCCTAAAAGTTGCCCTTCCATAGGCCTTACATCTGGTAGGTACCTCCAATTTATATAGGTTCCTGGAATGACCACTGAATAATTGGATAATTTGAGAATACATATTATATATATATATTATATATATATATACATATATTACCCTACTGTAAACCAACATAGATGTGTAAAACCCACCATTTGTAGATCCTTTTTCCTGTAGGGGAACTTTTGTTTTGTTCATCTGATTGTACAATAATTATAACCACAATATCCCCATTATAATTGTGACAAGTTGGATTGTATAGCCATACTGGGAGATGGTCTTATACAGCTTGAGCATTGTACAAGAATGCACTGAATGCACTGTATAAGAATTTGAGGGACCCCGGGCCTCAAGCTCTTGGATTCTTAACCAACTCTCGGGCTGTAGATTATATATATTTACTTCATGTCTCCAGGCTTCCTGTTCTATGGACCGAAATGGCGGCACCCAAGGCCGACACGGGCGAGCTGAAGCACGCCTCCGGAGCACCTGACGAATGGGGGGCCATGGGGCCTGGAGAAACGCACCATACGACAGCCACCAAAAGTCATGAAACATGGAGGAAAATGATGGAATTCCGTGGAAATTCGGGAGGAAATCTGGAAGGAATATGAAGAAATCCGATTATAGCATGAACAAACCAAAAGGATATTTCAAGACAAAAAATGAGATGCAACGCCATTTAGCTGCCAAAAAGATACGGTAATAGACACAAATAGACATAAAAAATCATAAAAATGGACAAGAATACAAACAATAACGTAGCTGCACCCCAATCAAACGAGTGGAATAGGTGAACAAACATTGGAAACACGACAAAGATCTGCAACATAGGAATATATCAATATCACTGACATCACCCACAGTTTTGTGGGTAGAGTCCAGAGTAGAATCGAATTTAAAATACCCCGTAGAGCCAACAACTGATGCAACCAAAGAGTAAACGGCAAACCCCCTACTCGATGGCTCATCCCAATTAGTAAGTGGATTATAACCCCAGTTATAAGTGAACCTTGCCCTACTTAGCCCAGTTATAACCAGGGGTATAACCCACTTACTAAGTGGGATGAACCACCAAGTAATTACACATGTTTTGATCCAATGGATTTTGCAGCCAATGGTTTTTGACAGATTTTTCAGGAAAGCTTCCCACCACAGGTTTCATCGTTTCCAACCAGAAAAAGCTCACGGATTCCCGTACGCCCAAGAGGCTAATTAATCAATTCATCATTAAATGCTGTTTGAAAGGGACAGCGCAAGGTATTCAGCAGCCCAATTCATACTGCAACATGGATCACCATTGATCCAACACCAAGGGGTTTTAGATTGAACATGCATAGTTAATTGCAAAATATTGCAAAGTACTTCCAACACAACAAACAACAAACAAGTATATATCCAGTACCCTCCATTACCCTCCTGTAAACTCACATAGATTCGTGGAATCCACGGCCATTTAAGTAGATCATCTTCCTAGGGAAATCATGGCCTTCCAGATAGATTCTTGTACCTACGGTATACACTGTACCCTCTGGTAAACATACAAAAAACTATGGTAAATCACCATGTTTAATAGGTAAATCATGGTAAATCATCTATAAATGGGCCATTTTATCCATTTTCCATGGCTATGTTAGTCATAAACTGTAGTCAGTATCATCCAGCATCCACCACCGGCAACGCAGGACTCCGAACCCCATAGGTGTGCCCGGCACAACCAGAGTTGTAAGCCTTGCCTCAGCCGCCAGAGGCGCGGAGCGCGCCAGGGACTTGGTGATTTCATTAGCCAAAATTCACTGGCTTGGTTTAAGGGAAAATCTACAAGAAACCATGGTTTTTACCATCAAATATAGGGCTTTCCTGTAAATTTTCCCATAATCCAATTCTATGAAAAATGGGAACTGGAGGTGTTGACCCAGTAATTTTTCAGAGATATTTTCAGTGACCCAGAAACTATCAGAAAATAAAACACAGATTGTTGAAGTGGAAACGAATCTTCCAACCCTCAACTCATGACAGGGTCGCTCCAGTTCCGGTTGTGTGGTGAAATTCTCTGACTTGCCACAGGAAGGAGCAGTGGTGGTCCCCACCACTCGACACTTTTGCCTGGTTGGTGGTTGACCTACCCAACTGAAAAATGTTAGGAAAAATGGGAAGGATGACATCCCATATATTATGGACAAATAAAAACATGTTCCAAACCACCAACCAGTTTGCCATACGCAGTGTCCCAATTCTTCAGTGGTGTTGGGTTACTTCGGCTACTTCGAGTTTGGTGAACTCATGTGGGAAAAACTAGAGGGGCCGAACAGTCCACTTAACTCGTCAACAGTCACACCGGTCTGAATCCGAACGTATCTATACTACCACATCTGCCAAGATAGAAAGGCATACATGATATACCAGGTCGGTATACCATTCATAATCATGTTCCTGTTGGTTATCCAGGGCTTAGTAGCCCCTCGGTTCGTCAACCAATGGGGAAAAACATGGCCATGCAACTATTCCACTGCTAACATGGCCATTCTGGTGGTATATCATATCCCATTTCCAAACAAGGCCAAACAGATCCAAATATATCTGGTTGGTGGTTTCAACCATCTTGAAATAAAAACATAGTCAATGGGCAGGATTATCCCATATATTATGGAAAATAAAAAATGCTTGAAACCACCAACCATATATGCAAATATAATATCAATTTGTTTGTGTTTTTTATCACCCTGAATTCCTATAGTTATCATGTTTATTCCTATTAATGTTGCCATGTATAACAATGTGGTTGCGAAACTGCAAGTAGCCCTTGGCTCCCCATTTCGCAATCTGGATACCCATAGATAGTTCCTTGGTTTCCTCCCACCGGATAGATCCGTAGCATGGGATATCAATCCATTGTTGTCCCAGTATCATTTACCATCTGGTTGTGACTAACATAGCCATGGAAAGATCCAGCATTTTTAATAGGCAAACCATCTATAAATTATAAATGGGCCATTTTCCATGGCTATGTTAAATAACCAGACGGTAAATCTAGGTAAAGATCCCCATTCTGTACCATATTTGTCTGGGAAAATTATAATATTTCACTAACCTGAATAGTTCGGGCCATATCGGGATGATTCCCCACAATCTAACCATCATTCCCAGTGAGGGAGAAGAGTGAGGTCGCTATAATTTACCCAGATATTTGTTGATAAAATTCGCCACATTTTTTACTTTGGCCAAGCCCGGTAACCGGCCTCAAGGGCAAGTTCTTGCTACAGCACCAACTTTCAAGGCAGCGACAGACCTTGGGCAAACTGAACTATAAAAATACCTTGAAGAATTTGGTTATTATAACCTGGGTTGATTCATATGGGTTAATTTAATGTATTACATCAAATGTAGCATTGGTTATTTGACCTTGGTTATGAATATCTAGCTGGTTCAATGTGGGTTATTTAAAAAACGGTATTGTTACAAAGGTCTATACTACATATACTACCTGTTTTTGTTTGGGGATGATGAAAATCTACCATTGTTTTTGGGAAACCGTTATCAGCCAAGTAGTATAATGAGATGGGAAAGGGGGTTATGTTTTTAATGGTTCGGGTGATGCCAATGATCGGCTGGCAGAGCTGGAGTTTGGGACATCACACAATAGATTTTTGACAACAAAAAATTGAATTTAAAAAACATATATACATATATATATATATATATACATATTGTTGATGGGACATCATATGTTGAGGAATATTCATATGGAACAATACTTATGAATTATATATATTCCTACAACAACATTGAGATCTCATATGTATTGCAGGAATATAATCATCAACAATAGGGACTGAACCAGGAGAAAACTATGGATTTGCCCGGGAAAAATGGAGATGTCATCAGCACAAATGTGGTGATTTAGAATTGATTTATGATAGCCAAATTGGGTCATTTCACTTATATTTAACTCTTGGGTTGCTGGTGTGATGGTCTGCAGTGTCGACTATAGTTGGATGGATTTCTCATGGCTTATGCGCAACCAACATAACTTGGGGGCAGCAACGTGTTTCAATACCCAAGACACTGAGGATCAAGGTATAAGGGCTACGATACTGGGTGCCGCCTTGAGGGCATGGGAGTATACCTTAAAGTACCATACATGTTGCTACTTTAGCGCATATAGAGTATTGTAATTTGCTCAAAGTAATCATATATTATATGCGTGGGTTTGTCTTGTCATGGGGTAACTACCCTTACTTCATGGCAATGTTGATAGGAAACTGATGGTTAAACGGTAAATGGGGCGACCAAATGTTCAGCAAAAAAACTTTACTTCGAGTGATCCCCACCCTGACACACTATTCTGACATATACTGGAAGCAAAAATGACATATATATATAATGATACGTGCTGTAAAAATATATAAATACACGTATATACATACGTATATTTAATAACCGCTATATATTTTAAATATTTGGGAGGGGGGTGTTGTGAGCGCCAAAATGTTTGCATTTTTGACATTTCATTTCTGCAAAAGATACCAAGCCCTGTTCTTTCCAGAACCAAACATTGTTGCTCCTGTAACAAAAGCAACCACTGTGCATTCTCAACAGCTCTCCCAATGTCCTACATAGATACATAGTTTCAGCCAAAGCAAACATGAATAATAGATAAAAACAACAAAACAAACAAGTGTAAGTGCCTTTCCAAAGAGTGCAGCATTGCTTTAAAAATGTATAGACTCTACATCTCTACAGGAGTTTCCCTCAACATATGCAATAGTTCTTTTGGACATGTGCATTCTAAACAGGTACCAATTTATGCAATATGTTCTCTATAAACAATGAAGGACAATGAATTTGCAAACTGCACTTGTAAAATAATTTTGCATAAAGAACGCCATTCCTCAATGTAACAGTCCCTTTGCAAAAAGTGTGGCATTGTTTGAAAGATAAGTAGCATTTAAAAAAAAATGTGCACTTTAAGCAGGCACCAATTTATGCAATATGTTTTCGATAAATAATGAAGGAAAATAATCATGCAAACATCGTTTGTAAAAAGACTGTGCATAAAGAACACCATTCCTCCATGTATGCAACAACCTTTTGCAAGCATTGTTGCATTCTTTGAAAAATGTGTAGCATTACTTCCCAATTTCAAGGAGAACCGTCCTATGTATGTACTGAATGATTTCAGAAATCATAGCATTCCTGTAGGAAAAATGTAGTATGCTGTTTTGCAAGATTGAATCTATTCTTGAATTACTACAGCATGGTTTTGAAAAGAGTGCCATCTTACTGACACATTGAAATATGTGTTTTACCTTTGAAAGTGCAGATTCTTGTTTGCAAAGTGGGCACCATTATTGTAAGGAAGTGTAGCAAGAGCCTACTCTAGATTCCATTGATGATGCAAAAGCCTGTTTTTAAAATATGTGTTTCTTTGTTGTAAAGCAATTATTGCACCACCTTCTGCAGCATATCCTTTCAAAGAGTACAACTGTTCTATGGAAATGTTGTTTTGTTTTGAAAAGGGTGCTATGTGACTCGACTTTCAAAAAGTCTTCAAAATGTGCAATATCCTTTCTTTGTGAACAAAGTAGAATATGGCTTCAAACAATGCGCAAAAAATTGTAATTATAGATTATAAATCTTAATGCAAACTTATTCAAATATAATCATGGCAATGTAAGCAAGTGCTACATGCCTATGAAAAGAGTGCAGTAGCACAACTACCTACAATATCTCTTTCAAACTAGTGCAGCATTTGCTCGAAAAAAAATGTCAAATTACTGCAAACTGTGCAAAATCTGTGTCAATCAAGGAAAGCCTTCCTTTGAAGATGCACATATGTATGTGTATGTATATATATATATACATGTGTGTCTATGTATGCATATGTAGTTTTAAAAGTGAATAGTTTCTTGGCAAATCTGTGTAGCATCCCTCCAAGAAAGTGTAACATGAGTCTACAGCAGATTCCATCGATGATGCAATAACAATAATGCTTGAGAAGATGGCCGTATTACTTCAGCAAAGTGTGCCATCAATTTATGCAACATGTTTTCAAAAAAGTATAGCATGAAACTAAGGTTATTATCTAGGACATGGCCGGACATTTCAAAATTGGAACACACAGTCTACAACAAGGATCAAAAAGGTGCAGATGGCTGAAAGTTACCAAAACAAAAAAACTTGGAAAAAAAAAAATCAGAGAGTCTTGGCTGGGACCCCCCCCTTCCAAAGAGTCTAGAAATATTGTTTTTTTTTGTTTTTCCAAGGTTTTTACCAAGTGTGGGGTACTTCAAGGAAACTGGCATGAATCACAGGCAAAGCTGTCAAAGTGCCTTGGGGAATGCAGTAAAACATCTCAAAATATCATCTTAGATCATGGGAAAACTGCACTCCCAGGGGCTGCCATTCTGCATAAGAAAGCCAAGAAGCATCAGGAGTGGATAAACGACTGCCAAACACACGCGAATGAGAGCAATTAGGGATAACAGCAATGCCAGGACCTATCCTTTAGTTTTCTGTTTGGGGGGAGCTGAGAGCTCCTAAAAGCAAAAGTATTTCATTGTTTGGGATGCGTTAGAGAAGGGATGAAGCAGAATTGATGTGGATTAATCTGGATTAATCCTGGGATGCAAAATTTCGAAAAAACAAAAAAAAACAAAAAAAAACAAAGATTTGGCAACTAGTCCAGACATCAGAGTAGTAGTGGAAACATTGTTTTTTTTGTTTTTTTTGTTTTTGTGTTTTTTTGTTTTTTTGTTATTTTGGTTCGCTCCAGTCGAAAGGAAGAAGTCGCGAGTCAATCCGCGAATCTTCGCAGGACTAAGCACTGCGAAGACGACAATTTTGCAGTTCGGGTTAGACGATTGCGCAGTTCGGGTTGGAGGATTTTGTAGTTCGGGTTAGACAGCAGACAGCAGACAGCAGACATTGGTTGCTTAAGTATATCAAATGATTCGTCCTACTCACACAGGCTGTTGTGAGCGAAAAAAACATGAAACCATCCATAGTATCAAGGCTATTATATATCCCCAAAATTTCGTTTTTTTTAGCGCTCACAACCCCCCTTTCTGAAATATTTCTGACAGTCTCTCTGACATGCTGTCTGGCATATACTCTGACATTCGATCTGTCATTCTTTCTGGCAACAACTCTGACATTCTATCTGGCATACTTGCTGGCGTGTATTCTGATATTCGTTTTGGCAATCTATTTGGCATTCTAGCTGGCATCTATTCCGACGTTCTTTCTGGCATCTATTCTGGCAGTCTATCTGACATCTATTCTGAAATTCTATCTGGCATCTATTCTGGCATTCTTTCTGGCATCTATTCTGGTAGTCTATCTAACATCTATTCCGACATTCTATCGGGCATTCTCTCTGGCATCTATTCTGACAGTCTTTCTGGCATCTATTCTGGCAGTCTATCTGGCATCTATTCTGACAATCTATCTGGCATCTATTCTGGCATTCTTTCTGGCATCTAGCCTGGCAGTCTATCAGGCATCTATTCTGACATTCTGTTTGGCATCTATTCTGACATTATGTCTGTCGTTCTTTCTGGCAGTCTATCTGAAATCTATTCTAACATTCTATCTGGCATTCTGTTTGGCATCAAGTCTGACATTCAGTCTGACATTCCATCTGGCATTTTATCTGGCATCTATTTTGACATTCTGTCTGGCATTCTGTTTGGCATCTATTCTGACATTCTGTCTGAGATTCTTTCTGGCAGTCTATCTGAATATATTCCGACATTTTGTCTGGCCTTCTTTTCGGCCTTCTCTCTGGCATGATTTCGGGTGCAGGCACGCTTCAAACCGTTCTTTCCTTTGTTGAAATCTAGAGACCCTCACCTCGCAGGTGGGGAACAAAAACAATGGACAGCTGTTAGCACATGGCCCATGTTAGGTACTGCAAATCAGGTAGTTGGTGTGTGGTGACTAAGTATACATATATACATATATATGTATACACATGTTTATATGAGACGTTGTCAAAGCACATTGTCTTTGCTAAGTTCCCGAAACAAAAGGTATCGCTTTTGGGGGTCCCTATCGCTATCCGCTATCCATGGTTTTGAAAAAATAAAGGAGTGGAAAAGAAAAAGAAAAGGAAAATAACAAGGAAAGGCAAAGGAAAGGGAAAGGAAAAGGAACCGGAAAAGGAAAAGGAAAGGAGAGGGAGAAGGAAAAGGAAAAGAACAGGAAAGTCAAAGGCAAAGGAAAAGGAAACGAAAAGGAGAAGGAAAGGGAAAGAAAAAGGGAAAGGGAAAGGAAAAAGAGAAGGAAAAGCAAAGGAAAAGGAAAGGACAAGGAAAGAGTCTATTTGTGGTCAGGGACTACTTTTTGAACAAATGGGTATCGCTAAGGTATCGCTAGGGGTATATATCTCCAATTTCGCCTCTTGCATGTACGCAACTTGGTGCAAAACAACTTGAGATATGGACATTATGCACAATTATAGGTATCACTTTGTTTGGGGGCCCTATCGCTACACAGTGTTTGGAGCACTTTCCAGACACAAGAGAACTGTCCTTTACAAAAGTAGTATACCAGAGCTTTGACCGTACCTAAATATATATTACAAATCAGACATATGCATACATGATCCCATTTGTGGCAAAACGATAAAGTATCAAACAAACCGCTCAGGATTGACCGCCTCGATGCGTCGCTTCAGCTCTCTGTTTTGTTCGTTCTTCTTGTCTGTCTCTGCCTCCAGACTGTCGAAAGCGGCTTCTTTTTTCTTCAGGCTCGACAGGATATTCCTGGCAACTGTCTCCAACGCCTTATTCTTTGCCTCCAGGTCCTGGTGAGAGTGGGGATTGGGGATACCATCACGGCATCTCAGAAACTTGTAGACGCCATCACGGCATCTCAGAAAGTAGACACCATCACGGCATCTATTACAAAAAAACTAGACACCAGGTGGCGGTTCGATTCCCCGCTGGTCCGCAAGTAAGGCTCAAGTACAATGCTCGAGTCACAGACGTGTACAAGTGCACTTTTTTCCTGGGCGACTCGCAGGCACGAATCGACGAAGGTAGAATTTGCCAGCTCGCTCCTCAAGGTTCCCTATCGCTTCACACAGTGGGAGCTCACTTTGCTAAATATGATGCAGCATGACATACATGTTCAGGCAAGCCTCCACGATTCTCTGTCAAATTCTGTCAGTGAGATGTATAAATTATTTAGCGACTAGTTTCGTAGCCTCTATCAGCTTGGCAACATGCAGGGCACAGTCCCCCTCAAAGTTTCCAACCATGTTCAACCCCCCTTACAATGGAAATTGCTCACTGAAGCTTCGTCGCTGCTGGTCGAGAAGCTGGAACGAAAGAATGATGTCGGTGAAGCCCGCCACTTAGCTTGAAGGACGCACTTGCGAGCACAAGCTCCTGCCCTTCTTTTCCCGAAGCCGTTTTGGATGCTTTCTGCCATGCTCTTCAAAGTCCGGAAGCAGCTGCCGTCTTCTCTCCAAGTCTGGGGGTCTGTCTACTTCTGCTAATTTGGGGTATCGCTCCAGGTATCAAACTGCATCGCTTCAGGCATCGTTCCCAAAAACTGTTTTGCCGCAGGCATTCTGGTCTTCATTTATCGCCTGATCTGCTTCTTGCAGCTTTTTTCTGCACACAAAAGACAGACATGGGAAGAAGAAAGCATGTAGGATTACTTCTTGCACACCTTTGGTGCGCCCATGTGTGCAGGTGCATCCGTCCGTGCGTGCATGTGTGTGTGTGTGAGAGAGAGAGAGAGAGAAAAAAAAAAGAGGAGAGAGAGAGAGAGAGAGAGAAAAAGAGAGAGAGAGAGAAGGAGAGAGAGAGAGAGAAAGAGAGAGAGAGAGAATGTCTTGGATACAGCAGGTGTCAGAAGTTTTGCTGCAAAACCTCTGGAAAGTGCAAGCATGTTGCCATGACAACATATTTGCATAACTTAGGGGGTATCGCTCTTCAAGGTTCCCTATCGCTCCCCAGAGGAAATCACACATCTTAAGACTTGACGGCGGTCGAATACAACATCTCTACATACCATCTTTTGACCCTTGGTCATATGTTTATAAGTATATATTTAACTATGTTTATATATGTCTATTTAGATATTATATGTGTATATGATTAATTATATATATGTTTATGTACATATATGAATGTATAGATGTGTGATTTATGTTTGATATATTATTGATATATCATGATATGTCATGATACATCATGGTGTATCTATATATCTACAGATTAACGGGAGTAAAGATCTCCCCAAGCATGATGATGGGTCTGAGACTGAACGGTTTTCATGAGGACAAATAACAGCAATCATAACTTAACCATGAGATGTGTACGGGGAATTGTGATAGTTCATTTTTCAGGCAAACCAATTTGAATCCCCCAGTGTACTTTCTACCATGCTACTAAGACAATGCCTCGAGGTAAATGAAACATTTACCGGGTTGCAAGCCACTAAACTAGGACATTTCATGGGCAAACCACAATCACACCACAGTTCAAAAAACAGATTGTCTCCATGTTGATCCATGTTGATAGACTCTTGACATAGACCCACAATGCCAATGAGGCGTTCCTGGGACCTGGATGTGCATCCTAGCGACGCTCCATGCTTTGAATGCACCCCATATATTATATCAACAACCGATAGTTATATCATGTTATATATACATGAGATATGTCATAGACAACTGGATGATCTGAATATGTAATTATATATCTATATTATATAAGATTGTTATGCCCACTTTCTAGTGCAAATATGTGTAACTACTATCTATCTCTATCTATCATCGCTTCCCCAGGAATGGGTTCCTGGGTCCTGCACATCGCTGGGAACGCTGCAGGCAGCCACAGCGGACCAGAGCCAAGCCTATCGGATTGCTATCGGTGCAACAGAATTAGTTAAGTTGGAACCAGTAACTTCAAGAACTTCTTTTTTGGATTTAGGGAAATTATAATTCCAGAACAATCAGATCTTTTTTTCTGGACTTATGGCAATTATATCTAAAATGATCTAAATACAAATGCACGTATAGTTAATGGGGTTATGAACCCCCTTCAGAACTGGGGGAGCCACCTTGTGGGCGAGTACGACCAGAATTCCCAAGTCTTGACGAATGCAATAAAAGTCAAATCTAAAGTAAAGCCATGGGCCTATGGGTCAGGAATGGTCAGGATATAGTTTCGGCAAGATACAAATGATACAATCATTCTCAAATGTGAAGAAAAGCCGTTGTCATCATTGTACATCATTGTACTGTCCTTACCAAAAATCCTTTCATGATGAGGTCTTTCTTCCGCGTCGCAGAGTAATTTCTTTTGTTGTAAAAACTCGGGGGTGAAATCAAGATGGAACAGGTACATCACATTACATACCAAATAATTCACATATGGTTTGTGGGTTTGGGGTCTATGACATTCCAAGCGCTTCATTCTTGGAGTCCTTTTAACGGGACAGATGACAGTCCCCGGAGCCTTGGCTACAATAACTTTGGGTACACAAAAGAGATACCAGGTATAATCACCGGATCATCATTATAAGCTGTAAACAACCAGATTTACGCAGGTTTATGAGCAAAAACTATGTTCACTGCTTCACTGCTTCTCATATCGTTCACAGATTCCAATGCACTAATGTGATCTAATTGTATGACTAAGTGACTAGGGACAAGTTGTATAAACAGAAGAAAGCACATCTAATATTCAATCCATAGCCTTGGATTTGTTTAATTGATGAATCCGCCCCCTCCCCCAATCAAAAAAAACTATAGATACCCCAAGGAAAGGATTTCCCATTTGGAAAATCACTAATCATCTCAGCAAATCTATTAGCAAAGTGATGCATTGTGATTCAAATCGTCATGGTGCTGCTATGGCGTGGCTGTGTCACTCTGTCTTCCATGGTGTCCTACAAGAGGATCGAACTCTTATGCAAAACCCTATCCGAAGAGTACCACCCCAGAGATCTAACAGTATGAATCCTGAACCCAATGAACTATACTATCTGGGTAAATTATAATATTTCACTGACCTGAATTAAGGCCATTTGAGCTGTGTCCAAAAGGTCCTGTTCTTCTGAAGGCGATAAGGATATGCTTACGCGTCCGCTTGCGCCTTGCTTACGCCACCACAGTTTTGGCTTACGCGAGGGATTTTGTTGAATTTGCACTTACGCGGAGCTTACGCTTACAGGTTTTTGCACCCCACCACAGCGCCAGCTTACGCGCAGCAATTTTTACAAGCAGAATGCCATGGTCTTGGAATCTCTGTCAGGCATCAGATGCGGTAGAAGTAGACGAAGATGAGGAAGTCCAGAAGGAGGGTCGCATCTGCCATCATAGAAGGACAATGTCGTTGCAAAAGGTCAGACATTGTTTGCACAATTTCCCGTTGGCGGCGCGGCATTACTTCAGAGAAGCCTCTTTCTTTGGGAGGCATTGTGGACTCAGAAAAGGAATGTGGGCTTACGCGGACCTTACGCGCGGCTTACGCGGAGCTTACGCGGATTTCCGGGGTCAACCTCTGTCCAATTTTAACTTATAACCCTCAAAGTCAAAAGGCCTTAAAAGAAGAGGTCCTTGCCGAGGGGACCCCAAAAGTCAATTTCGCCGTGCGATCCCTAACAATGCCGAGAATCCACGCGCCGAGGCGCCGAGTAATCATAACATCTCAAAACTTCCAACCCCATTGAACTTCCAGCAGCTATTGATTTTCCTCTCGAATTTTGGCATCCAAGCTTACTGGTGACGCTTTTGCGCCTGGGCATTTAGCTTTTCCATATCAGTCAGGCTGAAGGTATGCAACCCAGGCGCAGTAGAAAAATCTGAGCACATCATCCCTAAGCAATGCATGTTGTGTAGATAATGGACCGTCAGAGTACTTCCAAAAAGTGATGATTAGACATGGGTTTGAAAATCACTACTCTCGATTTCTCTCGACTTCTCTCGATTTTCTATGGCTGCCGAGTTGACTTTTAGGGTCTCCGAGTGAACTTTTAGGGTCTCCGAGTGAACTTTTAGGGTCTCCGAGTGAACTTTTAGGGTCCTACATAGCACCCGCTCTCGACTTCTCTCGATTTCTCTCGATTTCTCTCGGCTTCAAATTTTGGTAAATATTAACCGGTTAATCATCATTCCTGCCAATACATGGTCCTGTGTTTTCTTAGCATTGGCAATGATAGAAAAGAACATGCATCCCAGTAATGTGTGCCTCTGATTAGTGTGAGGGGCCCCCCCCCCAAACAATTTGAGGATACTCTATAACTCGCACTTTTTTTTGCCCCCCCTCAACATTTTTTTGGTCAATCAACTTAAGAAAGGATTTCAATTTACTTTCAATTGATTTCAATTGATTTTCAATTGATTTCAATTTACTTTTAATTAATTAATTTACTTTCAATTGATTTCAATTGATTTCAATTTTTCACTTTTAATTTACTTTCAATTGATTTCAATTTACTTTCAATTGATTTCAATTTACTTTTAATTTACTTTCAATTGATTTCAATTTACTTTTATTTTACTTTCAATTGATTTCAATTTACTTTCAATTGATTTCAATTGATTTCAATTTACTTTCAATTGATTTCAATTTACTTTTAATTTACTTTCAATTGATTTCAATTTACTTCAATTGATTTCAATTTACTTTCAATTGATTTCAATTTACTTTCAATTGATTTCAATTTACTTTTAATTTACTTTCAATTGATTTCAATTTACTTTCAATTGATTTCAATTTACTTTTAATTTACTTTCAATTGATTTCAATTTACTCTCAATTGATTTCAATTTACTTTTAATTCACTTTCAATTTACTTTCAATTGTTTTCACTTTTACTTTTAATTTATTTTTATTTTTTTTCACTCCCAAAAGTTGGTGCTCACAATAGAGTACCATCCAAACAATTATATTATTGAGTAACTGAGCCAATCATGAGGTATCCCCTTGAAAAATTGTCTGAGTGCTGTTTTTTAATAAGGGTTTAATAAGGCATCTGATTATTTGGGAAACCTTGCATTTTAAAATTTTAACACAACTATGGCTTTCTAAAGTGAAAGGACCAGCTTTACCCAAAGAAAGGTGGAGAAAGGGTTTTGCTTTTTTTTCACTCCCAAAAGTTGGTGCTCACAATAGAGTACCATCCAAACAATTATATTATTGAGTAACTGAGCCACTCATGAGGTATCCCCTTGAAAAATTGTCTGAGTGCTGTTTTTTAATAAGGGTTTAATAAGGCATCTAATTATTTGGAAAACCTTGCATTTTAAAGCTTTAGCATAAATATGGCTTTCTAAAGTGAAAGGACCAGCTTTACCCAAAGAAAGGTGGAGAAAGGGTTTTGCTTTTTTTTCACTCCCAAAAGTTGGTGCTCACAATAGAGTACCATCCAAACAATTATATTATTGAGTAACTGAGCCAATCATGAGGTATCCC